GAGGCAGACCCGTCGATGTTCGGATAGGCCTTCTCGGCCAGTGTCCGTAACTCCTCGGCATAGTTAGGCCACAACTATGAAGGCCAGCATTTTCTTGTGGATAACTCAGCTATGTATAAGTCTCTCTTAGCCGGAGGTTCGAAATGATCTTTCAGAGCCGCCACGGCATTATCATAAGTGTCCGTCTTAGCAGATGGTAGCCTCTTGAAAACTGCCTGCGCTCTCCCGACTAGTCTGACCTTTAAAAGGCCAGTTTCTTGTCAGCGTCCCATTCATTCACTACCGCACAGTTCTCGAAATGAATTATCCATGGTTCCCATGAAGACTCTGATCCGGAGAAGGCGTCGGGAAGGATAACAGGTCTGTTAGCCATGATCAGAGATACGCCTAAGTTACTCACTGCGCCAATGTAATAAGTGTCAACTTGTAAATTGTTTCATACTGAATCAAAACAACAGAGAGAACAACAGCAAAAGATGATAATAAAAGACAGACACTCTCACACACACATGCTCCTCTTCTGAGCATGCGCACTCATACACATAATAACATATTGTAACCATAATATAGTAATACATGAATTATTGTACATACACTACATAATACCAAGAGTATAGTGTCAATTCAGTTCACTACATTAACATCTAAAAAAAGCAGCAAGAGTCTAAAACAGCTTGCATTATAATAGAGTAAAAGCTTCTTCTATCAAAACAATCCGATGGACTGTCGTGAGGATGCCGTATTGGAATATGAGTATTATTGACTGCTCCAACTACTTGTGGAAAGCCCTATAAACTCTCAAAATCGGCAATGATTTGCTTTAGTCTATCTCCAGAAGGCATGAAAACATATTAGGAGGGCAGGTTTTCTGCTACTACCTCAGTTGTTTTTTGACAATTGTAGCTACAGTAGAAATTCCAACACCAAACAAAAATGCAATCATAAGATACTGAGTATTTGTCGATAGTCTCCAAATCATACTGGCCAGCTGTTTATCAACTGTTATTGGATTTCTAAAATGAGTTACCTTTTTAGCGAGAAAAGGCTTTAAATCTAGACATAACTTTGTAAATGTACTTCTGCTCATTCTCAAGTTGTCATGCCACCATTTTTTTCCAAATATAACACTTTTCGCAGCCTCCCGGAATCCTTTATTTCTTGTATTACACCACACAGAACAAAATACAGTACAACTTTCATCAAGAACAGCGTAGATATACCTTTTAACAACTAGTTAATCATAATAAACACAATTATTCTTTCAGGCCTACCTTCTGAAACGTTTCTTTTCCTTCAAAGTGAGCCTCAACATTTTTGTTAAGCCATCTTCTCCTTTTAGCTGAATTTTTTATAAACAATCGAAAAACAAAGAAAAGGAGCAGTTGATCAAGAGTAGCCATTTTGAGACACAATATCACGTGATTATAGGTCACACCTACAACCACGCCTTCAATTAATTATACTTTTAGTAGAGTGAAAAGGTTTAATGCGCATTGTAAAAGAAGAACTACTGAATCGAAAAAATTCGTTTTGATGCTAATTGAAGTGTGAAAAGGCCTGAACTATTATAACGTTATTATGTGTGCATGGAATATGGAATAAATGACACTTGACAGCTGTAATTATCTTCTAATTAATGACAACTCAAGGTTTTTCACTGTCCTTGCTACATCAGCACCATGTGAACATGTTTTTAATATAGCCGGACAGTGTTTCTCGTTGAAAATTTTGATTAAATAAATTTAAATTAACTCATATATACATGTATTATGTGATTTTACCAATGACTACAATGACTAAGTACAATGACTACATCGTTAAATAAATCATTG